AACACGTGTGTGTGTGTTATACATCAAGTTGTTGTGAACTATTTATACATTGTGCAATGGCTAAATCAAGCATACTTATACTTAATTCTTTACCATTTTTAGAAATTAAGAGCACTTGATATCTCTTATTTATTTTCAAGAATGTAAGTTAAGCAAGTAGTGACTTTTGATCATTTATTAAATCCTATTCAGCCTCTACAATAAGGAATACACAGTCATCATAGTTAACATAGGAAAAGTCAGCCAAGAATAGAAATCTTTTAAAAAAAATAGAAATCTTAGGTAAACTTTTAAAAGCATGCAGGTGATAGGAGATACCTGTCCATAATAAGCATTCGAGCGGATCGACTCCTTTTAGAAACCCTTGACAGACTGTTAGATGCGTCCAGGCTTGTTCAATCTGTTGGGGCTCAAGTTAAGACACTGAAAAATACTATTCACTTGAATCTGTACATCAGCCCTTGCTCAAAGAGCTCTCCCACAACAATGGCAAGCATGTATCTGACTCACACACAAATAAGCAGAGCATAATTCCAAAGTTTTTACAGATGAGAAAAGTGAAATGCCAAGCCGTTAGCAGGCTGATCTGTCTGCAAGTCAATGATGACCAGGAAGCTGGACCCTGAGCGCCATCATGCTCTGATTAGATGTCTGTGATGTCCTCTAAGAACTCAGCCAAGCAGAGAGCCTATCCTGACAGGTAAAGACATGAAGCCATTGATCTTATCTAACTACCTTGCCTTTCTTAACTAAAACTAACCCAGATAAGATAAAAATATTCTTAATCAACAAATTTGTCAAAAAAATTTGCCCCAAATAAACAGTACACAGCATGAAGTGAGGATCCTGCTCCTACATTCTCAGAGACTTCTACAGCCTCACTTGCAGGGTTAGCCCTGCCCAACAGACTGGTGTATATCTCTCCAGGCCTTTCCTCTATGCCCATAAAAATAACAAAATTTACATAGAAATGGGATAATTCTATAAGTAGCATTCTAGAGCTTGATTTTATTTTGCTCCCAAGTTGGAAATGAAAAATGAACAATCTGTTTAATATACAGAGTAGTGAATTGAAGAAGAAAAATGCAATATGTTTAAAGGATATTTCAGATCCTAGAAGTAAAGAAAGGAGTGGGCATGCCAGAAAGCAGCCATTATTCTAAATGGATTCAAATTTTCTTTTAGTTAAGTTTGATCTATTTTATCCTAGGTCAAGAGAAGAAAAACACTGAACTAACTGTATCCAAAAAAAAAAAAAAAAAAAGGAAAGAGAGAGAGAAAGGAAGCCAGCCAAACACTAAATCACACTCTATAGAATCTTATATTATTCATTTTCCATGAGTAGCATCTTCTAGTCATTATCAAGATAGAAAGATTGTTTAGACAGGATATTTTATTTGGGGAAATAATCTGTTTGATATTTACGCCTCCTCATTCTAGGGCTTCCAGCCAATTGCAATGGTGAGTCATATGTGGCCAGGGCAGACACAATTTGTTGTCCCCAATGGAACTCTTCAACTAAAACCTAAAAGGTGCTTAGATGTTATAACACTTGAGAATTCATCAGTATAAAATTTTAAATTACAATTTGCTTTAAAGAATGGTAAAAAAGGAAACAATGTCATATTTTATAACTCCAGGAAATAAAGATTATATTTCAATAGGGATTGCTTCTAAGCATGGAGCAAAGTACATCCATTTCTGATGATCTTATCATTGTTTGAGGTTCTAATCAAAGATCTAACAAGTCAATAAAAAAGAAGATTTTAACATCTTCCATGATAATCTTGAGTATGTGTTTGTGATATTTTTTAAAAAAGAAAAAATACATAGGTTTTTTCCCCCAACTGAATTGTATTTGTTTAGGCATTGTTGTAGAAAACATAAAATTACTAAGAATAAAATTTGCTTTCTGAAACCCCTTAAAGGAATGAAGTTATTATGGAAAGAGTCAAACTTGAGTACTGACCTTCCCAGATTTACAGTTCACTCTAGTTCACACTGACAATACGCCTGCCTTATCCTCCCTTAAGAACTTTAAAAATGGGATGGTCGTCTCTGTTGACCAACCCTGTCATTTCTTGGCATAATTACAGCATACATCCTGAATAGAAAAGTTGTTTTAATCTACATAAAAAGCAAAATTAAACGAGTAATACTTTTCCACCCTCTATTTCACCACATCTAGTAGGGATTTGTATTGTTACTTCACATATTATAATTGTGTAATCTTCCATAAGCAAACTTAGCTGAAATGATTCCATTTAAATAATGCTTAATGCATCACATAATATTTTAAAATGACATGTGGTAGCATGATGAGCTTGCTTCCAAAAAGATGTTATGATGTACTTAGAATTCTTATTAACAGAAGTCTCTGTGTACAAATACTCAAGTTCTTTTGCAGCTAATCAAATAAATTTAAATAATAACACAATGCAATAAGTAACACAAATATTTAGATCACCAAGATAAGACATTACAAATGAAACTAGGACTAAATGTGGTCAAGATCAATGCACTTGAGCCATTAACAAAATTAATTACATTTAAAAATCCTAAAACTATTTGTCTTGAAATTTTTTACAGTCCACATAGTTTTTCATTTTCTAGGTGGAATAATAAGCACAGATACTGAAAATACTATCTAACATTAAATGTTTATATTAAAAATGAAAAGAAATAATAAATTTTATAGTAAATAATTCATACACTATACATTTGGCTTTGGAGTGATTTCTTGAGATAAATACACTTATTTGGATAAAGGATTTTATTTATTTTCTTTTTGATACTTTAGGAATTCAGACAAAATAAGGAAGTCACACTTAGTTGGAGCTAAACAGTTGTAAAATATCCTCCTCACTAGTCTCTTCCTAGGATCCTCAAGTATTCTAGGAGTAATTTCCAAACCAATGGGAGACATTAATATATGATGATTTAAAAAAAATGGTAAGATTTTACCCTCACTCCAACTATGAAACATTTTCTTATGAGACCTTTCATCCCCCTCCCCAGAGCAAATGCTACTTTTAGTTACTCCTTGTGGTAAGTAGATTGTTTCTGAAAGGACCAAAAGAGCAGGATGGTGCAACTTTATTCTAAAGTACTATGTATGCCCAGACCCATTGGAGAAAGCCTGGTCAACTTACAGATGCCATGTCTATACTCAGCCCATCCAAAGGAGGAACTCTGTGGCTGAGTCTTCACATAATAAGATACAGTACAGTGGTATGTACCGCTTCCATTGTATCTACTGAAATCCCTGGTGAAACTGCTATCTCTCCTGACTGGATGAGGCACAGCCAGCTGTTCTAGGACGTCAAGCTGTTGGGAAACACCACTACCATCATTTTATTAGTCAACATACATCCACCATCACATTTGAGAGTTTTGAGAAATGTGACTTTCTCTCCCTACGATATGGTTCCTCCATATTATGATTCTTGGTTTAGTGATAATAGAGGGTACATTAAAGCTTGATTTTTATTGTAAGCATATATTCCTGATAAATATAATGGTTCTTTGTTTATAGGTTCATTGGTTGGAGAAAACCTGATTTTAGTTCTACCTCTGAAACTAGGAAATTTGTTAATAAAAATAAACCAGGCTGTGTGGTTAAATAATAAAGCGTGCATTCAATCAAATATTAGGCAGACATTAAGTATTTTGATCAGTAGAGTCATCACTCAGATGAAGAATTACTCAAAAACAACTTCAAGAATAAATTGGGTGCATAACCCAATGTATAAAATGATAAACTTAAGATAATAGAAACTTCCTAGAGAGATCTATAATTATTTAAGAGGATAAACCTGAAGGAAGTGATATTTATATTTGCTGTTATGCTTGAACATATTTTCTAAATTTTCTACAATGAATACTTACTGCCTTTAAAGTAAGAATTAAAAAAAGAAAGAAAGAAAATGCATGCCTGTCTACAAAAGTCATCATGCTACTGTGCTTCATCTATGAAATACTGTCCAAATTGGACAGGTTCGTGGTAAAGCCCTTCTAATCTGAATCTATTTTATCAAACTACTCTTATTTCCAATGAATACCCAACTCTAATGCTCAGCACTATCCTAAGGCAGGGGGTCACTAAATATATTTTGGTTCATCCAGATTCCACTGATGTCCTTTCTATTATGCCCAGGGCTTCTCCTCTTCCCAAGGTTTTGGATCATGGCTTTGTCCATAACCATATGTAGCCAACTTCATGATGTTCTAATTCAAGTATGGTGAACTGACAAAATCATTTTAGACTTTGACTTCAATAAACTCAGCCCAAGTAATTCAGAAGGAAGCTCTTTGTGACAGTCAGAGTCTCATCCACATTTGTTAAATGAGTAAAACAGTCACTAACCTGATCATAACAAAAGCAGCTAACATTCTTGATAGCTTTCCATTTAAAAGGAGGTTTGGTGCCAAGTGTTTTACACTTCATTTATCTTTTAATACTCAGAACAAATAGCTCTCCATTGCACAGAAGAAAACAACTGAGCCTCAGGTGGGTTATGGATATTTCCAAAGAGATGTAGCCAGAGGGCCTGGAATTCAGTTCTATCTGATACCAGTACATTCTACACTACCAAGTGTGCTTAGGGAAATACCACCAGGAATCATTTCATATTTGAGTCATTTTATTAATTAACTGGAATATTGGGTAGCTAAGCTAAACTGATATGTTGAGCTAAAGCATATAATTTCTTTTTAAACCAGGCACAGTGGTACTTGCCTGTAATCCCAGCAACTCAGGAGGCTGAGGCAGGAGGATAGCAAATTCAAGACCAGCCTTTGCAACTTAGTGAGCTTCTTGTCTCAAAATAAATAAAAAAAAAATACAAAGGGATGGGAATGTAGTTCAGTGGTACAGCACCCTGGGTTTGATCTTTAGTACCAGAGACAGAGGGACAGAGATAGAAAGAAATGTTTTATACATAAAAACAGATATAAAACTATGAGATCCTACTGAATCTCATTTTAAGTAATGTGTTTACCTGTATAGGACCAGCCAATCTCCTCAACAAGTTTTCTCTGTTGTCTGTAATATCCATAAGTCCAATCTACAATCAAGAAAAATCAAGTGATCAATGTGCAGGAAAAAATACATGCCCCAAAATTAAAAAATACAAGATACCCAAATCATTTTGCAATAAATGGCTTCATTTATGATTATTTTTTCCAGTGTCTTCTTTCAACCCAAACCATCACCATTACAGATATCATTGCCCCTGTTCTGGTAGCTACTGAGCATTTAAGGAATGCTAAAGTTTGGGCAGACACAATAAAATATTCTGTGCAAATAAGGAATAACTTAGGAGTATGATCCCTAAGAGACCACGTCAGAAAGGACAGCTTGTTATATCTGCAAATTTTTCTCACCATCCCTTAAGTTTAACATCCAAATTTCTGTTGATAAAGATACTTTTGGGTTTTCGATCAAAGTTTTATCTGCAAATGTTTCTAAGAGCCCCAGAAGTTATCATGGTTTCAAATTTGTTTCCCTTTTAATGTAAAATGAAATCAGATGTCTTGAGAAAATTGGGGTTTAAATGTGTGTGTGTTGGCTGAGAGAAAGGTTATATTAGATATTGTAAGTGAACTTTTCCCTGGAGGAAGAGACATGCCTGAAAGAGTAAGGCAGTGGAAGCTTAGTGTATCACAAGGTCAGTGGACACTTCAAAACCCACAGAGACAGGCTCCAGGTCTAGAACTTGGCACAAGGAGTAAAGGAAGGAAGACCGGGTGGAAGCCAGAGTCTCACCGCTTAATTCAAAATTTTTCTTGGAGCCATTCACACACACCCCAAAAAGACCCCTTAATCCCAGACTGTACTAACATTAGGACTCTATTTCAACTACACTGTGGATAAAGTATGGGCTCTGTGTGCAACCTGACCAGTGATGACAGAACTGTTTCTGTAGAAAAAGCTACAAAAAGTTTATTAATGAACTTGTGGAAGATACTCATTCATAAACTGGGGCTGTCATATAGCTTTCATTTGAATACACACATTTATACACAGGCACACACACATTGTATTGATTTTTTTTTCCTTTAGTTGGGGAAAGAAATTATTTCTTATTCACTCTGAATGGTTATTTTTTTTCCTTATTGACAGTTCCCAATTACTTCTGGGGTGCAAATATCATAAGGACTTTTCAAAAATTATTTTTTCTTTCTTCCATGTTATATACTCTCTGATTAACACAACTTGTGCAATAATAATAATAATAATAATAATAATAATAATAACAAACTTTAAAACCCATTTTATAAAAGCCAAAAGGAAGGGCAACTGTTAGAAATTCAGTCAGAATATGCTGATTATTAAAAGTCAAAACCAACCTTGGAGAAATAAAAGTTTTATTTTCATTTTTGTTCACCCATATAACTAGGCAAATACTCTACTGGCTGTGTCACAGACTTCAACACAGGGGTCCTTGTAACAATAATTTTATTGAAATACAGTTTATATACCACACTTCTCACCCATTAAAGTGTACAATGTAATGGCTTTTAGTATATTTACAGAGTCGGCAACCATAAATTTAGGACATCTTCATCACCCCTCAACAAACTCTACCTTTTAGCTGCCACCTCACCTGGCCCCACACCATACCTGGCCTGAGGCAAACACTCATCTGCCTTGTTTGCATAGATTTGAGTATTCTGGACATTTAAATGGAATCTTATAATATATAGCCTTTTGTCAATAGCTTTGTTCACACTGCACAGTGTTTGAAGCTTATCCATGTCACAACTTGCACCAATTCCTTTTCCTTCATTCCTTTTTACTGCTCAAGAATATCCAATTGTAAGGTGAATAAGAAAGTTAAGTTCCTCCCAGCTTGATCAACCTTAGATAGGCTTATTCCTGATTCTAGGCCCCTAATCTCTCTTTCCAGAGCTTTTGCCTTATAAATGTTATAAATGTAAATTCTTTCTCTAGCCTGTTGAGATGTAGATATTTTTAATAGGCAACCAACCATTTTACAGTCCCTGAAATTTATTTCTTAAGGACGCAGGCGCCATGTCTCTGAAATGTAATCCTGAAAGAGAGCATCCTTGCCTCCTAGTTTCAGTAAGAGAAGAGGAGCCTAATTTCAGTGAGGAACCTTGCTCCAAGTTGAAAAAACATGTTTACTTTTCCTTTGGATAAAGTTAATTACAAAACACAGATGGCCTATGACTTCTCCTATATGACCTGCGGTACTTTTCCACTAGCTTATCCCCAGTCTTGAAAATCCTTAGCCCTCTGCTTCACATGAGTTGAGTTCACAGTGGGTTCTGGCTTCTCCTCACTACTGCAATAGCCTTGAATAAAGTTGCCCTTGCCTGCTCAAATTTTCCTGGTGCAACTTTTGTTTTGACTATGGTTATACCATATTTTATTTACCCTTTCATTAATCAGTAGTTGCCTGGGTTGTTTCTACTGTGGGCTATTATTAATAAGACTGCTATGAATAGTCATACATATATTTGTCTCTATTTAAAAGATGAAATATTGAACTCAGAATTTATTTTTCATATATAAATGTCTCTTAAAGTGGTATTAACTTCTGGGAAAAAGTGGTTTGTTTTTTCCTTGATAAAGGAATATATATGATTAAAAGTTAGAATGAGTCTTTAGGGATAATTTGGTTCAGACTGTAACAGTTTAGAAAAAAAAATGAATTTTATTTAAGAGATAAGGTAATTATGCCAAAGTAAGGTAGCAACTGATAAAAATGGAAACTAGATGCCTAGCTCTGATCCCCTGCTCCAAGGATCCCTCCCCGCTCCCCCAGTAGTGAGGACTCTCATACTGCTCAGCTGTTAGTCACTCTCCTACAGTGCTTTCCCTAGTAAGAACCCCTGTGGCATGTTTACTTTAGAGAGAAACAAAATAAAACCAGTAAAAGCCAGAGATTCACTAACAGGAATTATCTAGGCAGTAAATTACAGAGAACTGAATGCATACTTGATTGGACCTGGCAACCTACTGGAACCTTCCTCTAAAACTGCATTAACTACAGAGAAAATATTTGTTACCATCTTTTATACATCTCAAATGTAAGCATTTTAATGATACAAGTATTTTTATCATTTAAATGCATTTGATGGCTTCAGAAGATTGGATGCCACACAGAACTTACATTTAACAATTATTTGACTGAAATAAATACAACAGTAAGCTCTTACTTTAATGATTCATTGTAAAGGATGATAGCAAAAATCAGCCAGTTCCAGTTCCTAGCTTTCCTTGCAGGCCTTTATTGCTGCACAATGAGCATTTGTCCTTGGTTTCTAATTACTTACATTAGGGAAGCTTTTTCAATACAAGATTCCCAGGTGTTGGTAGCTCTCTTCAGTTCCTTTATGCATTGTTCCCTTAATTGTTACTTCAAACAATCCGTTACACATTCATATGCTAATTACATAGTCCTTGGGCGTGAGAGAGTACCCCACTTTAAAAATTCTACTTAGAGGTCTGATAGATGAGATGTGATAGCTCCAATGAACAAGAAAAAAAGAAGCTACTTCACTTTTTTTTGTTGTTGCATTATATACTTTGAAAACCAGTAAATCCTGTATAACATAGAATCTATCCAAGTGCTTACACATTTTTAAATCCACGAAAATGAAATTATATATATATGTGTGAATATATAGATGTATATACGTGTATATATATATGATATATATATAGAATGACTTTTTCCTGTTTCTGTGGATTTTAGTTTCTTGAGTTTTTAGACTTTTTTTTTTCCTTTCCATTAAAAGTACTTGCCATTTTTATTTTCGTCTGTCTCACAGTGACAAAAGTAGAAAAGAAATTTCAGGATGGGATTGAACACATAGCATACAAGAATGTGTACATTAATGAATACTTTTAAAGCCTACTCTAAAATTTGTCTGGAAAAAAATACTATTCACAAAGTGAATTTTGAACTTGCTAAAAAACCCAAAATTGTGAGAATTTTGGTTATATTAATTTAGGTGACCTTAAACGTTCCTGTTCCAAACCACTGCAACTTGCATTGACCTTCAGCATCTATATAAAAGTAAATAGGAATATACTTACATGCACTAACATATGAACATATACATATTTCTTTATTTTTCTTTACACTCATTTAAAGGAAATGAAAGTGTTAATTGCTAATAATTAGCATTTTTTCAAGTTTCAAAATCACCTCCTTCCAAATAAGAATGAGTGTGCTCATTTCTTAAGGTATCATTATAAATATTCGAAGTACAAAATTGCTTCTGAGGGTCCCCTCACCCTAAAGAAATGTGTTTGCTATGTGTTGGTCAACAATTTATCATTTGCATCTTACTACAGATTTTAACTGCAGTGTTCTGACAAAACACACAGGCACACAGCCAAGTACACATTCTGATATTATAAAGTGCTTGAAATATGAAAGGGAGGAGGCACAGAATGGTCTTGAAAAAGACATTTCAGGGAGACTATAACTACAGGTTTACACCTGACGTCTGGGATTATGGATTTCTTGAAGTGGACTTGTCCATAGTATATAATTCTTCCTATGTTCTCTCATGTTCTTTAGAGAAATCACTAAGGATATTCAGAAATCTGGAAAAGTGTTGAAGAATGGGAAAAGTTAGAGATGGACCTTTGAAGCCCTGGGTGAGACTGTCAAGGAAGAGGGAGAGGGACTGAATGTCCCAAATAGAGAAGGGCTGAGCACCCAGACTGGTACAGGGTGGATCCCAAGGTCAGAGGGGTCAGCTGAGCTCTTGTGTAGGGTCTGCATATGTCACTAGAAACTTATTCTTGGTGACAGTTCACTGTGATACAAGGTCATAGAATCTTCATTATTTTAATTTTCATACTACTCTCTTTTTATCTGGATTTCTTTTAAAAATTGAGGAGGCAGTTTACTAAGTTGACTTAAAGGTATTGAATATATTTCATACATTTGAGTATATTCTGAAGGAAAATATCAAAGAAGAGTAGGAATAATAAGATAAATATTTTAGCTGAACTGAAAGGAGTTAAGTGTGTGTTTGTAAAGAAAGGAGGGTGACTTTTGAAAGCCTGAGGGGGCTGGAA